GCTTCATTAACAGACCAAAAGTGCAAAATCAATATGCCTTAAAACTGAATCCTCATTTGCAAAAATACCTTTTCATGACTGGCTCCGAATACGTCTCTGTGAAGCAACATGCTGTTCAATACTGACCACATCTCAGCCTTCACACTCTGTGTATGTGTATGAATTAGCATTATCTGAGAGCATGATTCCCCCACCCTACCTCCCCATTTGCATTAGTACATCCTAGTTAATTTAGTTTGTCAGAAAACAAGGAAGTATATATTCCTAGAGGCCACGTTGGAGACAATTCGCCCGCCTTCAGACAATCTCTGCCATCACTCTCCATCTCCCACGCAAGCTCCACCAGAAATTCAGCATTGCTGTGCACTCTGAGACAACAGTGCCGACTAGACAAGAGACTGTTTATAGCACAAATGATATCATAAACAGCACGTGGCATATTATCTTTAGAAATAATTCATTACAGGCTATAAGCTAGAAAGATTTGCAGCATGGTATGTAGAGGGTAACTACAACGTATGGAAATCACACAATCCTCAAACACAAAAGGTTTTAACTTGCTGATTAAACCCAGCAGACACACTTCTGTAGTGGACTGGTTAGTCTAATGCACTCAGGCGCTGGGAGAGCTGTATGACAGCGAGCCCGAACACAGTCCTAAGCGGCTGTCTGGCAAATAAACCCATTTGGGACACTGTGTAAGGTGTGAAGACCTCTTGGAGGAGGCTGTCGCCCACACTGGCTCACGGGCGTGCTGCGGTATCAGGAGAGACGAGGTAAACACAGCAGATCAGCGGTGAAGCCGTAAACTCACTGACCCAGCATAAAGGAGGAGACGGGACTAATTAGTGACTGTACTTACAACTCAAAGGAGAGCGAGAGAGACGAGGAGAAGAGAGGGAAGCGCACACAGAGAGCATGCAGTTGGAGGATGAGAACAATCAGTTTGTTTAGCTTAAACAGGATTTACAAGGCAAACAGACACATGCCAACACCACTCACTCCGACACATACTATATCTTTTCTTCTCAGTTGCTCCCCCTTTTCTCTCCCTGTCTCACCAACACTCACAGCTGAGACAGGCTCTGGGGGGATTTCATCAGCAGTAGATAAAAAAAAGTGAGGGTAATTGCTTGCGATGGCAAGAAGTCTTAAGTGCAGGCGGCAGCAGTGGACAAATGGATGGATGTGTGATAGAGGGAACATCTTGTTCCTCCTGTGCGAGCGCCAACTCTCATATTGTTCCTGGTGAGGCCGGATGTCATGTATGATTCAAGGCCCCCAGCCTCCCGGAGGACGAGAACAGGACATGGCCACCGTGACATCCCCTGTACTCGTTTCTCAAAGAACATGAAATCAAACATGCATGAGACGGTGACAGGAGTGAGCCAGTAACTTCTCTCTTCACTCTCCCTGTCTGCTCTCTGCTTCATGCTCTTATCTCAGGACAAAAAAAACACATCCAAGGCGTTGGGAGAGCTCAAGGCTGAAGCAATGGCTCTTCAGAAACAGGAGGTAAATAGATCTTTGGCCTATATTAAACAGATACTGTATCTGACAATGCAAAATCACAGCATGTCAATTTCAAGGCAAAAAAAATAAAAACCACATTATATACAGAGTACCTGAGTGACAGCATAGCAGAAGTGGAATATACCATTTCTACATTTTTTTTTTTTTTTATTCAAGGAGGGGTTTTCCTGAGTGCAAGTGTTCCTTCACAGCGCCGCACTGTTTCACATACCTGGGAACAGCTCAGCACTCGTACAGTCTCCTACAGTTGGTCACCAAACAACACCATTTGTTGCTACTTGAGGTTAAATCCAATGACTCTCCCGACTTTCTCAGCCACCTCAGGGGCCTACACCAACCACGTTTTAGCCACAAGCCGCACCACAGCACAAGGTCTGCAGCTGGAAGGACAGTGTGGCATTGAGGTTTTCTTATCCCTGCGCCTCATGTTGGTCCACTGATGTCATCAGAGTCAGTCATGGGCTTCATTTTCTTTCTTTTAGTTACACTGCAATTACCAGGTTCGAACTTGAAGAGAGCTTAACTGGAGACCTATGGGTATAATTACAACAGCATTTAGGAAGTCTGACACGAGGGCACGGCCTCAGCTCAAACTGAACATTTCAAGTTGTAACTCCCCCCACCCAAGTCTTTATTCACAAAATTAAAATGCTCAGAGGAAACAAGTTTCTCCTTATTAGAAGACCAAAATAGTAACTCTGAAAACAAAGGCTCCGTCTAGATGGGAAGTACTGCCAAGTTGAACCACAAGTGAGACAGAAAGAAAGACGGAAACAAAAGCTGACTTCTGCTCGGGACACGAGTGGGTGGGTTTGGGCTCGTGGCGAGACACCGGGCTACAAGAATCCGTGTCAAGCGTACAGGCACCCAGTGTGTTACAGCATTCCTCAAACCAACATTAACAGTTAGATAAAATGTCAGGCTGTCAAAACACTGATTAGCGTTCGCCAGGTTTAAAGCACTTGGCAGACTGCAGCTGTGCCGACACACAGTAAACAGCAGCAGCTTGGTAAATCACCAGGGAACAAAAAGCAAATTACTCTGACTTTAGTAATTAGTTGTTTTGCCCGTACCGTGCTTCACAGAGATTCAATAATATGGTGCACACACTGCCTTGTTCACTTTCTGTGAATGATCAGCAAGTGAAATCAAAGAATAGCCGCAGGTGTCTGACACTGAATTTGTGATATAACTTGCAGCTATAGAAAATGATGACTTGGTGGCAAAGAGCTGCTGCTAAAAGTTAGTTTCACAACAACCTGCAGCGCTGCCTGTGCCTACTTTCTGTTTAAGATGTCACTATTTTTGCATCACTATGACAATGATAATCACTTTTATTGGCCGAGTATGTTACACACACAAGGGATTTGTCTCCGATACAGAACCAAGGAAGCCATCTGAGGCGCGCACACACACACTGATGGTGGCGCTGTACCTGCAAGGTGCTGCTGTGGCCTTTGGGGGCACCTTGGGGTTTAGTGTCCTGCCCAAGGACACTTCAACATTTGGACTGTAAAGAACAGGGATCAAACCGCTGACCTTCCGGTTGGAGGATCACCGCTCTACCTCCTGAGCCACAGCCGCCCCGTGTCCTTCACGTTATGGCACAGGACCACACAGTCCAGACTCAGTGAGCACACTGCATCTGCAACCAGCACTGTGATAGACAGCCTCTGAAATTTGATTTCAAAGTGTCTACTAGAGCCTTTAGCCTGCTTAGCGAATCAGACACTCTTCTGTCTGTCTCACAGTCTGGCTGGCTGGTTGCAGAGAGAGGCCCCACGAGGGACAATAGAAGGAAACAGAACTCATATACACACACGTCCAAGTTTCAAACTGTTGCAGATGGCTTTAATTCCTTGCCCTCTTTCTTTCACAATTTATCAGGTAACCTACTCTGCCTTCTCTTCATGCTTTGCTGAGATGACTTAACGCTGCTTCGGTTCGTCAGGAGGAGGGAAAAAAAAAAAGTCCAGCAGCTCCAATTAATGTGGTGCAGCTGACAAGTGTTGCTGCTGAAACAATTTCATTACATCACCAATTTAAATTACCGCAAACGAGATACTGGAGGGTGTACCCACTCTGTTACATACAGAGTGGACACAATAACACAAGCACCTGCAATCCAATGCAATGCTCCTGCAAAAGTACTGACCGTGATAAGCGTATAATGTGCTATAATGAAAGCAGATAGCAGCACTACCAGTAAGATATGGCTGGTTATAGATTAGATATTGCTGAACACTGTGGTAGCTATCACAAAACTCCACAGCTCTATAACAATAACAAAGGACTGCTGATCTGTTCCTAATCACGTTCCCTTCAACGCAATGCCAGTAAAGGCTCCTTTTCACCCCCCTCCCAAAGTTTAGCTGCCCGGTAGCAGGGTGCATTGTAATGAAAGAGCAACGGTCTCCTCCTCCTGCCGGGTGCCCCGTCTCCACTGCGCCCTGCCCTGGCTGGTCTCACATCCAGACAGGAGGAATTTAACAGGGAGGGTCCGCCAGACTTAAGGCAGAAGGCCACAGTGAGTCAAGCAGCTCATCCACACTCTGCTGCAAAAGGGCTTTGTAAAGGTGCAAAAGGGCTTTGTAAAGGTGGAAGTGTCAGTCATGTGGATTCAACCAGATTCAACAAACTAATTTGTACTGAAGAGTGTGTGTGTGTGTGTTTGTGCAGTCAGGTAAATTACTAACATGGACACTGCAGTCACACCTGAAATTATCACAGTGCATGGATTTTATTGTGAAAGTAAACTCTTTCTCACTGTACTCCAGAGCCCGCTAGAGTACCAGTTGGGGCCCCCGGGGGTCTCACTGACCTCACCTTGGGAACCAGTGATATTTCAATGATCAACACAATCCATTTTATCAGCGCACATCAAGGTGGCACTTCACATCGTTTAACATAGCACACCATAACAGAGTGCATGCCTGCTAACTGCATTACAACAGGTAGCCAATAATAGCCTTGAAAACACGACCAGACACACTGCTGACTGTTAGCTGAGTGGCACACATTCTCAGTTTAGCATCAGCCGAGCCATCAGCTGATCCAACGAAACCAGACGTTTACCCACACAGGCACACACACACACCTACAATCATTGCTTTCACAGTCCAATGTGGTGTCTTGACAAACTGCATGCACCTATCTTGAAATAATCCTGCAGCCACACCGACTTTGGTTATTCCGCTCCACAAGGCAGAAACACTGGGTATATAAAGCACACACAACAAACATTACGCTGCGTAAATGCGCTCCGTTACCGCTCGGGCGACCACAATCTGCCCCCTGACACGAGTTCATCCGCGGCTGTTAAAGGTTTCTAGGAGGTCACCCTATTGTTAGCAGGTAGTGTCTGTCCAGCAGGAGGCAAACCCCATCTTGAGCAGCCCACACACACGCACACACTCGCACTCAAACCACGCTTTGCAACAAAAAAAATAACCACGCGCAAAACTTACTTTTCGCTCGGAGCTCAGTGGCCAATCCGCGTATTGTTCCTCCAAACCGCGTGTTTACAGCGCTCCTCTCCACCTCACAAAGACGACGCGCGATCCCCGCAGACTGTGCGAGTGAGTGACTGACTCAACTAGCGTAGAGCACGGCAAGTTGAAGTGTCAGATTACACTGGCTATTCAGTTATCAGAGAGCCGTACTCTGTGGTCGGCTCGAAAGTGCGGCCTAGACTTTAACGGAAGGACACCGAGCACGCAGGTGTAAAAGAACAGGCACATTGCACAGTGGAGCGGACTGCAGCGCACAGCTCCGGCTATTGTCTGGCTCTGTGTCATTATCGCAGCTTCAGTACTGCCCGGATGCCTTGTGTCATCGAACCACTAGTCAGTAATTAACTGAACAATAGCTTATTACTGAGTTTATTCCCTATTAGTCCAAACTAAAGTAACAGAATAAACGTTTCATCAGAAACTGCCAAATAGCCTAAGACATTACAGGCTACAACAGCTACTACAATAAAGAGCTATTAATGAAAATAATCATGTTAATGCTATTCTCATTTTATGAATAAAAACAATCATAGAAAAAATACCCATCACAACACTGGCTTTTCTGTTAAGATGCTTCTATAATGCAAATATATCCCGTAAGATGAAGAAAATAGCCAGTAAATAGGCCAGAAGCAAAAATCTGTTTAAAATACTTGTAAAAATGTTTGTACAAAGAATAATCATGACTGTAATATCTAATAAATTTGAAAAAACCTAAATAATATAATAGCTATTATTGTTGTTAGACTTATAATGTTGTTATTTTTATTTTAAAAATAGCTAAATAAACAAATTCATTTTGTACAGTATTATTACTGTTGTCATTGCTGTTAATAATAAGATAGAATTTAAAATGGCATATTATTACAGTGGCAGCTATAGGCCTACGGGCTGGATGGTAATAACATGAGTAATGATCGCAGCAAGTCATAATATTAAACTTTAAAAGTTTCACTTAAACTTTCCAGGTGTGTGTGTGTGTGTGCCTTTGTATTACTTACATCATGAGGACCTAAACCTGTTAATGCACTCACACTGTAGGGACTTGGCCATCCTTGTGGGGACCAGAAGCTAGTCCCCACAAGGAAATCACTGAATTTTAGGGTGACAACATGGTTTAGGGTTAGGATGAGGTTAAAGTTAAGTATCAGGGTTAGGTGTTAGGCAGGTAGTGGCTATGGTTAAGGTTAGGATAAGTCTACAGGAAATGAATGTAACTCAATGTAAAGTCCCCAGAAGGAATGAAAACACAGCGTGTGTGTGTGTGTGTGTGTGTGTGTGTGTGTGTGTGTGTGTGTGTGTGTGTGTGTGTGTGTGTGTGTGTGTGTGCC